TTTAGTCTAAAGGAATAAACAAGTTGACTTCACTATTTATTTGTACTATTTAATTTGTACGGAATAGGGAACAAGGAAAGACGTCACAAAGAAACTATGAGATGGAATTCGCATTTGTATGTTTTCATTGCTCCATTCCCCTTTAATATTGCCAAGTATGTATTATTATAAAGTGTGGTAGATGTCTCAGAGTAATGTTCAAAGAAAATTGCGTCTTAATTCCATTTGCGAAGACGTAAAATTGTATTTTGCGTAAACATACGTAGAAATGGTAATGTTACGCGTCACCCAACTTAAGTGTTATGCACCTAAGAAAATAACGTTAGATTTGGTATAGAGACAGTGACTAGTGTTGGTAAACTATATGCCATTTAATAAAAATAAATTTTAATTTTAATGGTTGCTCTTAGGTAGGTATGTTCCGTCGTCGGCCACATCATCGTTCGCCACCAGGCGATTAAATATTAAAAAAAAACAAAGCACCATTCTGTCCAAGTTCCATGTTCAAATGTAAATAGTTCTTAGTCATCTTTAATAAACCCAACAACGTATACGCAACCAAAAAAAAACGTCATCATATCAAGACCAGCAATTACAACGCTCACCAATCCAGATTTTAAACTCCTTACTAATTAGGTTTACTCTAAAATTCTGTTCCATTTAATCCATTCTATTATCTAAATGGCTAGAGAAAGCTAACTCAATTACGAAGACAGTAGAACGAATGAAAACTAGTTCAACTAATTGCATGTCATAGGTCTTTCGTCCAGGTAGGAATGTTCTTGTCGTTTACAAGTTAAATTAAGCCAGCATTACCATTTCATAGTTCTAAAACATCCAGGCGGGGAAAATATTATTTTAATGGGTAAAGCTGGTAAGAAGCAGACGGAACTACAGATGTTAAGCAATCGGCGTCGCCCATGGACACCCGGAACACCAGAGGCGTTACAAGTGCGGTACCAGCCTTTTGGGGATTGGGATTTCGAGGAGTGTTGGGCCTCCGGTAACTTTACTTACACGATGAAATACAACGCAAGCGTTGTTTCACAACGGTTTTCTGTGAGGCGGTGGTATCACTCCGGACGTGCCGGCACTGCACGCATGCTCTCCCACATTTATATCGTATGTTTATAGTATACTATATGTATGTTACTCTATGTATGTTTCTCTAAAGATGGTTTAAGAAGTTATTTGAAATAAATTTTCTGAATATGGACAAACTACGAATGATAGATGGTGGAACTGTAGGATGGTGGTTGCATTCTGAAGACATTAGACATGGTGGTTTAACAGTGCACATTTCACTAAATAATGATGATTACACCAGCAGAATTCTCGGTAGGTAATTTTTTTTAAAAGAAAACCCTCTTACGACAATGGAAGACGAAACCATTAAAATGACTGCACATACTATAGAAGTATAGATAGCGTAGAGGTAAGTCTAAGTACTATCTGAATTAAATTGCAGTGCAGTATGTCGTTTATCCCTCGAGACGGTCTATTGTCACACCAAGAAAACCAGGTGCACTTCTAAATCACATTATACGACGGACAAAGGAAAAATCTAAGCATTTATACCTGAGTTTTTAAGAAAATCGCTGTGGAGTTAGATAAACTAGGAAAAAAGAATCTCTTACTTAGGTATTGTTCAGTATAAAACGAGGGGGAATGGTGGTGATTTGAATACCTTCTGTCATGTGAATCAATGGATATTACATTGATTATCAATAGTGCTCGATATCCATCCAGCTATAATGTTATTATTTGTCATTAGGTATGTACAAAGTTTAGCACTAATTGCCACCCGGAAAGTAATTTAGCCTGTATAATGTCATTACTAAAATTTCTCAGCATTAAAAATTATCTATAATTGTGGTTAAAAAATAGAGGCAGTCATTAAAAACCAGTCAAGTGCTAGTTGTATTCATATACCAACGGCGACAAAACCGCGTTTGTTTCTGAAGCCCTTTTAGATGTAATTTTAGTGTTTGTTGTTAGAGACACGATAGTAGAACTGTGTTAAAAATCAACTATCTACTTTTGTTATGTTCATGAGATAAAGACTGGCGAATGATGACAGTTAAAGATAGTCAAAAATACAGTTACACTAGCTCTGAAATAGCATGCTAAAAAGCATTCTTATGTCCTATGTGTTAAAATTGAACGCCTATTGATCCGCACGCATGTCCGAAATGAGCATGCTAATTTTTTTTGAGCTACATTCCAACACACATGCTGCTAAATGACTAGTGCTCAATTAAAGCATGATTTCGTCCTTGAAATTATCATGTGTAACAGTACCTATACACAATACAGTTAAGTTTTACAGATAGGGTGTCCCAATGTGGTCCCAATTCACCTTTCAGTACAGAACGCTAAAATATAACTGTTGAAATTTTACATTATTATAATTTTTCTGGGAATCCAAATGAAAGCACAGCGATTAACATAATGAACCAACAATTGCCATTCATAACAATATTAATAATAAACTGCTGGCACGAAATTGTTTGCAGTTGCATGAAGGCATGAATTTTGAGGGAAACGTAAACCTTTTACAGTGCTATCTCAATCTTACCTATCAATCGTGGAGATTATAGCGAGCATTCTTATGTTCAGAAGGTCATAGTTAAGTAGACTATTGATATTGATGTAGAATAGAATAAAGTAAGTGTGACTGCACAGTTGGCGCGGTGGCTGGGCAATTGACTGCCGCCTAACGTGTCACGGGCTCGATTCCGGAACAACTCTTTGTGCAACTAGAGAATCGTATCGTGAACCTGATTGAAAAAGAGTTAACCTATGGAGTTTCCTGCTCGTTCTTCTCCATTAGCTTCACTTTTAATTATTTTGTTGGCGTTCAAAAACCCTTCCATGTGTAATTAAAATAAATGATCTTGACTTTGACTTTGTTGGGAACATTCGTTTTCCAATAATAACCTCTCGATCTCGATAGAATATTGTTTTTTTTTGTAGCCTACTTAATTTGTTTCAATACCAATTAGTGAACTCTCGTTTACTTAAAATATCTTCATTAAATTATGTAAATATTGACATAATCTACTGTATTAATATCAGAATCAATTTTTAATAATAAAATTACAGCTTTGTTTCACGAGAGGATCATAAACAAACAGTTCGTTCTTTTAAAACTTTTTACTTTGTTTTCAATGAAAATAATTGGCTGTGATCATCATAGTCTTTTATTACTTTAAAATGACCAAAAGTTCAAATATTTTATTCGTTGTTGGTTTACTTGAAAATTTATGGAATGTGTCATGTGGAGAGCCTACTTGATACGGTCATTTCGACCCTCCATATACGCAACTACCTTGTTTTCAAAAGCCATTAATAAATAAACAACTCCTCAGCCGAACACAATACATTTATAAATGGCAAGTCTGCTAATCAGTGGTTAATTAATCTTGTAATTACCCCTTTCCCTAATTACTATTAGTAGATTGTGGTGAAATAGATTAAGCAAAATAATTAGTTATCTGTCCCCTATATAATTTCATAGGTAGATATAATTCAGAATCGGACAGATCGAGAGTTGATAACACGGTTACCAAAAGTAATCATATATTATTAAGTCAGCATATAATTGATATTGATATTAAAAAAACGAATTATGTAACAATTATACAAATGCAAAACTATTCCGAAAAGAGATAACAAAAAGCCATCAGAACTTATCTGCAGATAGATAAATAGATCAGCTTTCAAAATACTTTGGTTGAAAAGACAGCCGTACTTTAGAACGAACAACAAGAATTTAAACTTAGTATAAACACGTCTTGATTCCCCGTCGCTTCGGATAAAACCACGGAACAGAACGAACTTGTAGTTTTTGTGCAAACAATCTCACCGCGTGGTGTGACATATCAAGCTATAAAATACCACCGTATCATGGTCCCGCTTCGTACGATCTTTCCGAATATTCAACGGTCCGCTTGTACTGGTTTTGTTACCTCGATGTGAAGTTGTCTACAAGTTGTTCGACGCCATGCTTCTTGCATCCAACTCATTGTCTGAGCGTTTGAAAAATTTTCCTAGATAGCTACGAACTTCTTCTTGATAGGAATAAACTAACAAACAACATGTCTGTTCCCTTTCAAGAAACTTAGATTATTTAGATTAGTTCTTGTTCCTGAGTTTTGACATAGATGTAAGATAAAGCCTTGAAGAATGCGAAGATCAATGTTATTCTTCTCTCTCTCTCTAATCTCTTCTCTTTTTTCTTGTAAAATACGTAAATGAATTTAATTGATCAACACCGTTTCAGACAAATAAAGTCAACCTATTGAGTTTCCAACTTAACACAAATATGTTTGAACACTGAAACTAGGGTACTACGAATTGTTTTACCGAGCGGTTTCAAAAGTTGATGCAGAAAAAGTAAAAAAATATTGGAACACGATGTATCAGTGTTCGGGGTTCGTGTTAGTTCCAAAGTCGAATTGATTTTGAATGTATAACTTCGGCATTGGGATTTAACAAATGAATTAAAAAAGGCTTGGCTACATATTGCAGGTTTTATTTGTGACCACTGTCAATTTGTTCGGGGGCTGGTTTGAATTGAAACATTCGGATATTTTTTGAATATTTTTTTGTCTTCCATGTTGCCATTCAGTTTCTATTTTTATTGTTACGTTGGTGTCGTGCGCTGCAATATTTTCGAAGTTGAAAAATATCGTGTATTTTTATTTTGTTCGGGTGTTGTAGTTTATTTTTAGGACGCCTGCGGGATTTTTATGAGCCTTTTTTCAAATATTTTTGTAACGGCAAAACTTTTTTACTTGTTTTTTTTTTATTTTTTCCGTACATTACATACAATACTTTATGTAAGCAACGTATGCAAATGCTAAACTATAAATCATAAATATATTATTTCGTCCAGCTCCTTACTTTTACATATATTTAAATATTTTTCGTAATATTCTTTCAATCAGTATCCCGCTTATTTGTTCCCTAAAATATAGGCAGGAATAGGTACTTACCAAATATCGTACCGATGCTTTCAGTCATTTTCACGGAGATCGCGCCGTCGAAGAGAGAGTCGATGCAAGCACTCAGAGCCCTTGCGCAGGCACTGGTTCCGATCTGTTGGACAAAATTTTTATGTAATTGAGATAAAAATGAAGTAGCAACATACTATTTTCAAATAATTTTCATCAGACAGGGAGTGATGCTTTATAACATTTTATAAGCATGATCGCGTGCATAATTGCATAGAAATAAAATGTAAATTTTAATACTCCATTATTGTTATACTTTAAAAACAATTTTAACGAAAACTGATCGGTTTAATAATGTCAAATAACCATGTTTACGGGACAGGTATTAAGGTTAAATAATGCTTAAAATAGTGGTCGGTGAAGCCTAACAATTCGTAGAAACTTGAGACAGCTGTCAGTAGTAAATGTACTACAAAATAGTGCCTTAATCAGACTGGCTAACCTTTTACTAACATGTTTTGTGGAAAAACGAAATTATCTAAATGGACATGAGTGAAATGTGTGGTCACCTGCGAGATAAACTTCTTTATAAGTCATATACCTACATAATCTGTTCTACGCACTTTGAAACATTATATTGTTCTTCAGTTTAGCGTTAAGTAATAACCACTGCCTCGTTGGCCGAGTGGTTGCAAGTGCGATTGCCGGGCAAGAGGTCTCGGGTTCGATTCCCGGGTCGGGCAAAGTATTAGTGGGTTTTTAAAGAATTGTGCCCGGTATATGGCAATAGGCTCACCCCTTATTACATGGGACTCATAACATAAATAGTGATAAGTGGGTGTTACATTGTAGTGGCATAATGTGCACCTCTGCTTAGCTCTTCGGGGATAAAAGACGTAATGTTATGTTAAGAACCAATCATGTCGCTCAAACTTCGCCAAATGAATGTACCAAAAGTTTTAATAACACCTTTTTAATAAATATATTAAATGTGTGTGTTTTCATTATTTACCTAGCATACCAAATCATTAATATTATTAATTGCAGTTGCATAGAAACAAAAATTAAAGTGTGCAGGGTTGAAAATTTACTTTGTTATGTAGCCTTTCGTTTTACCTGTACAGTCGAACTGTACAAATTAAATCGTAGGTCCATACTGCCTACACGCCTGACTATTTAACTACAGTTCGACTGTTTAACTAGACAGTTAACCTGTACGGTTAAATCGTAAGGAGTGTAGCGTGCTTCATAGACAGTCGGAATTTAGTCTTTAGTCGTTTAGTTGTAAAATGTTTGCTATCGTGCTTATTGTATGCTAATAATATGGCTAGAAATATGAGTCACCCGAACAACAGTAAAATCCAAAAGTTCTGTTGTTTTTCTTTATTGGTTTTTGTATGGAATTAAATCTATTTCCAACTTTGTTTGTACCTGCGTCGATATTTTTATAAGCTGAAAAGTTTATGTTTGTTCGAAGTTTACTGAATTTTATTGGAATTCATGTACATTATTTAACCTTTGAGACCTTTTGTCTACAGCATATTTTGACCTTATTTGATTATTTTCAAGACTAGTTTTATTTCTATAAAACTGGAAAGAAAATCTGGCCTGATCCTTCAAAGTTAGTAATAGTTTCCATTTAGTATTGATTAGATACATGATGTATCTAATCTTATACATATATAAAGTATAAGTATAAATAGGTATTTATACTTAAAGGTAGGTACTCTATCACCTACTCCCATTTATTTCTTTAAACCGCTTTCAAGAAAATTTCGACCTTACAGCAAAGTATCTAAGTAGAAAATAAAAAGTATACTTACGAGATACTCGAGCACCATGTTCCAGCCAATAATGAACGCTAAGAATTCTCCTACAGTTACGTACGAATACATGTACGCACTCCCGGTGGTGTTGGGGACGCGCACACCGAACTCTGCGTAACATGCACCTGTTGGGACAAAACATAAAATAAATATCATCATCTTAATCACCATCCTCATCAGCCTATAAGTGCCTATTGCTTAAGATTGTATACCGCAACTGCTCGGGGTCGCGACGTCTACGTATGGTTATTAAGGTGGTGGTTATCTATGCAGGAAGCCAGTGCTCAAGAAGCTGGTCTAAAATCCTTGTCTCTCTAGAGACATGTCTCTCTAGACTCTATAAACACTTTGTCTTTCTATATATGTTCGATCCAGAAGTTTTTTGAAGTCTAGGACTGTGTCTGATATATGACACCATTACCTATTTCATGGGTGTAATAACACAACTGGGGAGTAAAGTGAGTGTTACATTGTATACATGCCTACAGCATCTTGTCTATTACAGTCGTGGGAAAAGTAGACGTTATGCTTATGAGAAATGCGTTCTACTGTGTCATCTTCCCAAGGCTCCACAGGGCTTCAGAATACAAAATAGTTTTAATGTTAATTGTAGAGAGCAGTATATACTCCGTTACATTTGGGAATAATGATTTTTGATATTTGAAAATATGTATAATGTTGACTGTATAGTCGGCGTGGTGGCTTTGTACCACGCAACGAGTAGCAAGTTCGATTACCGCACGCAACAACTCTTTGTGTGATCAACTTTTCGGGTTTAAGTATGATATGTATGTATGTAAATTTGGATGCTTGTAAACACGTCCATCATCATAAGCATGGACAAGAACGTAATGTGGGGCATCGCTTTTTTTTATAATGTAGCCTTTATTCTTACCACCACCTTAGTAAGTTTTGATATCTTTCCAAAGGAAATCGAGTACATAATGTAATATTCTTTAATTCACTCACCGCTAAAGATAGATGCCAGGGCTGCTATGATGAAGCTGATGACTACGCCGGGGCCAGCAAATTTCTTTGCCACCATTCCGGCGACCAGATACATGCCAGTGCCGACACAGGATCCAACGCCCAAGGACGTGAGATCCAAAGTGCTGAGACATCGCTGCGAAAGAAAACTCTAGTTAGTATTTAAATACACTCACTGTATACGTGACTAACACTAACGAGCAAATTAGTAATACCGATTTATTTTGCTAAAGGATTAATTTCTAAGTTTACTTAAACTAACTTTATATAAATGCAACTGAAAGACAGACAGTTACAGTTTTTCAAAGTCACATCATGTATCAGTTACTAGATGTGTAACTGGTATGGTGAATAATATGGTAATAGTACAATATCAACAAAGGTATATCATTTAGTTTTTAAAATGTTTTTAGTGCTTGAAATCTCAATCACGAATTTGCCTCAAGATCATGGTTAATGATTTAGTCCTCACACTTCTATAGGTACCACGGTAGGTACAAATACGATATTAGTCATAATGGACTATTGTTTAAAAATTGTGTTCAGAACATTTTTGGTATATCTGAGCTTTGTCACAAAGCCAAATTCATATAAATATGACACACGTTCTACGAAAGGATTTTAAAAAAATGAGTTTCTAGAATAATTTAGGACATAGTTTTCACAGAACATGAAATTCCATTTGTGCAAATCCGGGCAACGGAAATGATCAATGGATGTAGGGACAGTGGTTTTCTGGAAAATCCATCAAGAAAGCTTTCAAATGGCTGGTCACAAAGAAAGGTGCAGTCTTTTGTTTCTGGATTACCTAACCAAACGGAATTGTGAATGAGCTTCGATTTATTACTTATTTCTTTCCAGAAAGCTCCGTTTTCCTATACAAAGGTGAACCTTCCTTTCTTGTCAACGGCGTCGAAATAAACTTAGGAAGAATACATACAACTTGGAAAGAGTCGTATTGATACTTGCCACGCATGGAACTCGCGCTTTCAGAAGCTTGAGAAGCGGATACCTCTTCATGCCATCATGGCCTTTGAATTAATATAGATAATTGGGCGACATTAAGGCTTAATTCCTTGTAATACTATAAGAAAATGCTTTAGTAGACATAGCATTAGGTATGTAGATAGTTGCACATACGTATGTTCAATAACGACCGCAGTACCATGATTGAATCGCACGATTGCCACTTGGTAAGCCGTGCACTCAATTGTCTAGGCTATTGTTGAGCGGATATTAGACGTCTCGCAATTTCAAGACTAATTATTGTATAATATGTGACTAACCGACTAAATTAACCTTAAGATGTTAGCAACGTAGCTTGAGGTATTAATAATGTAAGGTAAGGTAACGTTATTCAGTTGTTTATGCACCGGTTTTCCGAGTTTTTACTGATCTCTGGATTTTAAGAGAAGGTGACGTCTGTGGTTTCTTTCAGTGTTTTATGTTGTCTGTAGACAAATAGGAATAACCGAATTCATTTAACTTTATTTTAATTTTAACGTATAAAAAGTGTGAAATAGACATTTATCGTTTATCATTACATTAAAAATAAAGGTTCGATTTAATTTATGAATTGCTAATAATTAACTCTAGAAATGTTTGCGTACAAGTCACTTTGAGAAAAATTAATCATTCATCAATTAGCCTTTGAACTAACTGTGATGAGGAACTTGGAATTGAAACAAGATAATAACATATTAAGTAAAAAAAGTTACTACATTGAATATTGAATGTTTAATGCAATAGAGTTCAGAGTAAAATAAAAGGTTAAAGGTTTTGGATTCTGTTACACATGCTCATTTTGAGCACAGTTGCAAATTGACACTTGACAGGCGTTCGACTGTTGAGCATGCTCAACAGAACGCTTTTTAGCATGCTATTTAAGAGCATGTGTAACAAGCACCTTTAGTGTTGAATTACATATAATTACATTTTTAAAAACACTTTACTATTACTTGTACATTTCACATCTTCAACAGCCTTTTTTATATTTTTTTTAAGGGGCGAAAATACACAGAATGTCTGCTCCCGCCTGGGTGAGGCGGGAGGGAGTGTCAGACTCTTACTGACTAAAAACCACCCCGTTCCTTCTCCTGCACGTCAAGCCAGAGCCCCGGTTACCCGTTAGGTTCTCCGCAATAATGCCTACTGCTGAGTAAAGCCTCTTCTCACACAGAGAAGGTTTGGGCATTAATCACCACGCTTGCTTAATGCGGGTTGGCGATTTCAAACTTGTAATAAGAAATTATAAGCCCAGGTTTCCCTACGATATTTTCCTTCATCGTTTGTCAGTGGTGTCTGAATAATCTTAGAAAGTACATATAACTCGGAAAAATCACAGTGGTACTTGCCGTTGGTAGGTTTCGAACCCGCACCATCATGTATGAGAAGCGGGCGTCTTAAACCTCCGGGCCACAACATCATATTTGCACGTTTAGTTTAAATAACTATCTTTTTCAAAATACATTTTCATCCCGTACGCGATTTTACAATTGGATGAAGTCTGTACATTTATCTCGTATTTTAATCATAACATTTTCAGCATTTAAATGTAAACTAGGAAAGCTTTTCTTTGTTTTTTTTATCGTGTCGTGAGCCTTTTGTGACAAAGAACTTGAATGTAGGAATTTTTCATTTCAGCAAAAATATTCGCAATTAAGTTCACAATAACAAATCTGTCGATTTTTTGTGTTTTCTGTCTAAAAGTTTCTTGTAATAGTTTTTTAATTTTTTATATTTATTTTAAGAAAGATTTTTTTAATTGTATGTCTTTTTTTAACACGTCTAATGAACGTAATGTGATCAAATCGAGTAAGTAAAATAAATAATTAGTTTGTTGCTTACTCGTAATAATGTGAACATAATATTATTGATCTGTAATTTTAGCATATCGGGTAAACCACCATGTAAACAATTTCTGAGCTAACTAATTTAATCCACTTATGGACTAATGGTATCTACTGGCCACATTTATCGGACGTCAATCATAACTAAGTGATTCAATTGTTCGGATAAATCCCTATTAGTTGGCTGATCATCGGCTGTTCAATTGAAAGCATTGTAAATCTTATTTGTACACATATTGGTTATTGTTTTATGATATTTAATTACCATTATTTGCAAACTGTTTACTGCAATAAGTATTATTTATTAGTAACATAGCGTCCTTTTAATCCGCTTTAATGGCTGCAGTGCAAACATATTGCTATATTCTTGCCATACAGGGCATTACAAAGAAATTATACATATAAATACTAGTAACACTTTCCTGAATCGAGTTTTGTGTGATCGAATATAAGAGACAGTTTGTATTGTAACTTTTGTGAGACATATTAAATAAATTATTATGTTTTCGGCTTACTCACGTAATAATTTGACGAGGTACTCGACTAGTTTCAAGCCATGCTAGAGGCTCATATTCATGAGCAGCATTTCGCGACTCGCGACGCGGTGACCAGCTGGTCAAATTATTACGTGAGTAAGCCGAAAACATAATAATTTAAGAGACAGTTGTAGTAAAAAGGAGTTGGTATAAAACAGTCTGCCAACCACTAAACAATGTTCTCCTCGTACGAAACTGAATTTAAAGTTCCTTAAGTAAATACATTTTACAATTCACTTTGCTCAGTGTAACTGTGGCAAGAGAGAGGCTGAACAAAAGATGTAGGTAGCCAAACGTAACCATATAAGAAAACCTACTTTAATATCATAGCAGTAAAGTGTAAAGTAATTATGTTAATGGTTCAAGTGAAGCGGTTCCGTCTACAAACAAGATTCATCTTGTATTTGTAACGCAAAAGAAATTGGAAAAAAGTAACCTTCGTTGCAGTGGATTGCTTTTTGCTTTCCGCTTTAAAGTTACGATTTAACTTAGAGAAGGAAAAATTGGCAAAAGGGGTTCCATTTTGAAAACGCTAGAGCTGCGTTGTTTGTTAAAAAAAAAAACAAGAAATTGAAATATGAAAACGTTTTTACTTTTTATACTTTTGTAGCAGAATACAGCTACAAACGGTAATAACCGTTCGTAGCTCGGTTGAGGAAAAATGTTGTAATTATAGTGAAAATATTAATTGCGGCTATGAGTGACTGCATTTCATTTTAGAATAGCATAATGATGAATTAATTTGAAAATTAATTAATTGCAAATAATATGCAGTCCTTCAATAGGTAGGATTTTGGTTTAGCAGTTATATTAAAGTAAGGGTTGTTAGTCGCTGCGGTTAGGGCTTGTCTAACCGAGACGCCGCCCGCGCCGTTCGTTAGATTGGAGCTTTGTTAGAGAATTGGCTTTCCTGGATCGGTGGTTAATTGTTACTATGTATCTGAACCAGTAGATACTACTTAGAAATCTGATATTGGAAAGGGGTTACTTTGGCGCTAATTTAACTATATCGTGCGTTGCCTTTGTCTGTGTATCTCCAATGAACATTCATGAAATGATTTTGATACTACCACAAAACATGTGCCAATACATTCAACATTATTTAACTGTTGGGTAACAGAAGAATTATACTGAAATGTTCAAGTATGCTGAAAAAATTAGCTATACAATCTACGTGTTGAATAAAAACTGGACTTGAAATACCCCAAATCGTCCGCGTCAACCCACGCCGTCCCACGCACTGCGGTGAAAGGTTGAATAGGCCCAAATTTTGTATAAATATATGTGGAAGAATGAGGTTTTAAAAGTAGACCCATTACATTCATGTATGCAGAGATATAAGCTCGGTACTTCAGTAGATACAAAAGATACTCTCGGGGTCTCTATCAATACAGTCCTTGTTTGAAAAAGATAATTACTTTTTATTGTTTTAATTTTATTCATTGTGATCTTTTATATTTTTGAAATAATTACTATAAGTGTACACAGATACAGCAATGAAATAATTTACCCAGCCAAGGGAATGCACTAGTCGTTTAAAATTCCTACGTTTCTAGGTTTTAAACGTTTCTCGCCGGCTGGTAGTTTGTAGTTATGACATACGAGTGTATGCCCGCGGGGAATCACGTTCCGAACAGCTCGGCACATTTCCTACGGATATTGGTATCCCATAAATATATTCTTAAACGACTATTTTATGCGCTAAACGTTTTCTTTGGCAGAATCAACATATTTGAACCGTAAACGTTCGT